GGCACGAACCTTCCCGAGAGAGACCGAACCGGACCGAACCTTCCCGAGCGCCGCCGAACCGGGTCGAACCTTCCCGAGAGGGGACGAACCGAGACGAACCTTCACGAGCGCCGCCGAACCTTCCCGAGCGCCGCCGAACCGGGCCGGACCTTCCCGAGCGGAGCCGAGCGGCACTGAACCGGGCCGAAAGGGGCACGAGGCGAGCCGAACCTTCCCGAGCGCTGCCGAACCGGGCCGGGAGGAACACGAGGCGAGCCGAACCTTCCCGAGCGGTGCCGAACCGGGACTAGCGGAGCCGAACCGAAGCCGAGGGGTCGCGAGCAGAGCCGAAGCTTCCCGAGCGGCGCCGAACCGGAGCCGAACCCGCCCGAGCGCCGCCGGGCGCCGCCAGGGGGCGGCAAAGGGCCGCGCTGGGAGGGGGCGGGGTCTCTGTGGAGTGGGCGGGGCTTGTGGGGTGAGAGGGGGTCCACCTATGGGAATTGGGGGGGGTCCCATATGGAGGCGGGGGGGGTCTCAATGCGGAGGGGGACCCATATGGAGTGGGGGGTGAAGGCAGGACCCTATGGGGGTGCTGGGGGGCTGTATAGGGGGACCCTATAGGGTGAGTGGAGACCCTATGGGGTGTGAATGGATCCTGCTGGGCGTATGGGGGGGCGAGGGGGTGGGAGGGCGACCTATGGAGTAATCGAGGTCCCTATGGAGCTGGCGGGAGCCCTATAGAGTGTGTGTGGACCCTACGATGAGTCACCTATGGGGTGTATGTGTGGGGACCCTGTAAAATAGAGGAGACCCTGTTGGGTATGGGGGGGGTCCTTACAGGGTGAGGGGGTCCCTATAGGGCATAGGGGGTTCCCTATGGGATTGGGAGGACCCTATTGGGTATGCAGGTATGCTGTGGGGTATGAAGGAGCTCCCCTATGGGACACAAAGACTCTATAGGGTGTGCAGGATCCTATACGAGGGTGGGCTGCTATGGGGTGGGGAGACCTTATAGGGGGTGGAAAGGGTTCCCCTAGGTAGCGGGGGACCATATACACTGTGTAGGGGCGGGGCTATGGGGTATGGAGGAATCCCCTATAGGATGGAGAGATCCATAATGGGGGTAGAGGGTGTGTCCCATTTCGGGGGGCAATTGGAGGGTCCTTATGGTGTACAGAGGGGGTTACTCTATGGGGTAGGGGGACCCTGTGGGCTCCCAGGGGTGCTCTATGGTATAGGGGGCATAACGGGGGGGACCCTATGGAGAGGGGTTCCTCTATATGGTGGAGGGAGTCCCCTGTTGGGGAGCTATAGGAGGCTCCATTGTGGTTTGGGGGGGCAATGGGGTGTGGGGGGGTCTCCCATGGGAAGTGAGGGGTCCCCTGTAGGGTGGGGGTGCCCTGTAGGGTGTGCAGGGGCTCCTAATGGGTGTCCCCGCTCCTATAGGGGCGGGGGGTGTGTCCTGGACATCGGGCTCTCTGCGGGGGCGGGGCTTCGACAGTGGGCGTGACTATGGCATGGGGCGGGGCCAACGGGGGCGGGGCTCCTGCTGGGGGCGGGGCCACGTGGGAGGAGGTGAGGAAAGGAGGCGGGACCGACGGAGCGCCCAGACGAGGGCGGGGCCAAGAGAGGGGCGGGGCCAATTAAAGGGGTGGAGCCAATGTTCAGGGGCTCCTGTCGGGGCGGGGCCACGTGGGAGGAGGTGCGGAAAGGGGGCGTGGTCAACCCTTCAGTCGCGTGGAGGGGCGTGGTCAAAGCAGGGGGCGGGGCTTCTCCTTGGCGCGCCGCGGCGGGGCGGGGCTTGCCCCCGCGCGGTCCCCCCCGCCCCTCCCGTGCTCAGGCGCCCGCGCACGCTCGTGTGCAAGAGCCCGGGCGCGTCTTTGCACGGCGCTTTGCACCCCCCCGTGCCCCTGCACGGCCCTTTGCACCCCGTTGTGCCCGTGCACAGCCCTTTGCACCCCCCCGTGCCCATGCACGGCTCCTTGCACCCCCCCGTGCCCGTGCACGGCTCCTTGCACCCCCCCGTGCCCCTGCACGGCGCTTTGCACCCCCCCGTGCCCGTGCACGGCCCTTTGCACCCCCCCGTGCCCGTGCACGGCGCTTTGCACCCCCCGTGCCCGTGCACGGCGCTTTGCACCCCCCCGTGCCCGTGCACGGCCCTTTGCACCCCCCCGTGCCCGTGCACGGCCCTTTGCACCCCCCGTGCCCGTGCATGGCTCCTTGCACCCCCCCGTGCCCCTGCACGGCGCTTTGCACCCCCCCGTGCCCCTGCACGGCGCTTTGCACCCCCCCGTGCCCGTGCACGGCCCTTTGCACCCCCCGTGCCCGTGCACGGCCCTTTGCACCCCCCGTGCCCGTGCACGGTCCTTTGCACCTCCTCGTGCCCGTGCACGACCCTTTGCACCCCCCCGTGCCCGTGCACGACCCCTTGCACCCCCCGTGCCCGTGCACGGCTCCTTGCACCCCCCCGTGCCCGTGCACGACCCCTTGCACCCCCCCGTGCCCGTGCACGACCCCTTGCACCCCCCGTGCCCCTGCACGGCCCTTTGCACCTCCCCGTGCCCGTGCACGGCCCTTTGCACGCCCCCGTGCCCTTGCACGGCTCCTTGCATGGCCGTGGTTGTTCTTGCACGAGCGGACCCCACCCACGTGGCCCCCCCCACTCGTGTCCCTTTGCACACTCACACGGAGCCGGGGGGGGGGGTTGTTTCTTTCTCCGATAATTTATATTTGCAAATAAAATCCGTTAATGAAGTAATTACATCGGATGCTCTATACAGGG